GTAAAAAGGTCAAGATGCCATCCACAACAATGGAACTTAAGTCCTGCCTCAATTCAGGTGGATCACACGCATGACGAATGTAACAAAGGGGCAGGATTTCAACTGCATGGTCATGGCTACTATCTTGACTTTTTTGTCACCCCCTGCTCATACCCACAAAAATAATGTGGTAATAATCACGGCAGGTTACATATATTAAGTAAGAGGGGATGACCATCTTTTGAGGGTATGGTACACCTTGAGGTCACACAGGTTTAAATCCTGGAGCTGACATATAGATATGGCAGTAGCTGATCTTTATCTTCGTATCGCTCAGATCTCATCCTGGAATCTCCTGCCAATAAAGTCACAAGAGTGTACTGGTTTACCAGAGACAGATTTTTTGCACTGCCTAGGAGAAAGCTGGGACAACAGCAAGAAGCTAAGCAGGAGCAGCAATGAGATGAATTAATGTGTGAAATTAAGGACCTTTCTCTACACCCAAGATCACACAATGTGATTGGCTGTAGCCTGATCTCAGTGACTGCTCTGATTTGAGGGCAGGCCTGTCCCTAATTAAATCAAGGACTCACGGTGGAGCTCACAGAAGCCCACCCTGCACAGAGCCAACTCAATCCTGTGCCTTCAGAACGTTTGTTCTGATTTCCCCTGCTTGGCCTTGTGATCAGAGCTTCTGTAGAATCCAACACCTGCCCTAACCACTGTGTTCATAGATGAACAGGTCTGAAAGTTAGCTGTCAACCTCCAGAGGAAAATTAATATGAACCTCATGTGGCATCTGTGCAAAAAAATATAAAGCATTAATATACACACAGCACTCCTTGCCAACTGCTGTTCTGCTCTGAATTAATGAAAACAAAGGCCTAACTATTCTTGGGAGAGGACACCAGCTAAAGCTAAACCTCTCTCTGCACTCCTTCCCCCTTTGTAAAAACACTCCACACAGCTTTAGCTAACATTATTAGTAACTGTGAGGATCTACTGTGACTTGTGTTGGTCCTGCAGAAGCATTTCTGGAGCAGAGACTTACCTGACTTAGTTTTTCCATGTGTGCCACCAGAAGAGGAAAACGATGGGCCAACGCGGAATCATTCTCAGTACTGGCTTGTTTTATTCCCGAACACAGCAAGGCTTCTCCATCGTAAGCAATAGGGAAGATAGAGGTGAGCTTCACAGATGTATGGCACAATGCTGACATCACAGCGGCCAGAAGCCTGCTGCTTGAAGTCTTGAAGTTGGCTTCCTGAATGTCCTGAAAAAAGAGCAGGTTGAAGCAGAACAATAGGCTTCCGGATGAAACCAGGATGAGGTTCTGCTCCGTTATATCTTGCCCACAGGGCGCTGTGTCAACTCTAGTTTGGGAAGGCTTGGTGGCAGAATGGAGGAAGCAATGTCTTCAAGGAGGGGGTGGTGAGAAGAGGGAGCAGACAAGAGGGAGCAGAGGCAAACTGAAGGTGCGCTGAGATGCAAATAGTGTTGGGAGAAACAATGAATAAGAAACACTAGGAGGAAAGAAGGGCAATTGGAGGAGGAGGATCCTTCATTCTCTCTCTTCTCTACCCCTCCTGCCTCATTAAGAGTTACTGAACTTGGTCCCTGCAAAACAGAAACGCAGCCCTTTGAAGGATGAAGGAGCAATTGGCAAATGGGATTTAGAACCATGTCATGTTCTACACAGAGAAGACTTGGGCTACAGAGGCCTGCGTATTTTTGGCCAACCTGATGGAAGAATGTTATTCAGTGGTACTGGAAAAGGGCAGAACTTTTTAGAGAACTACCTCAAAAACCAAGCCATGGGAAGAGACTTTTAGTACCTGATCCAAGCAGTTGAGTAAATCACAGAGGCAAGCCCACTGTAAGGCTGGGGTGGGATAGAAGGAGTGAAAGCAGGCTGTGAAGGTGTTGTGGCATTCCTGCAGGGCAGCTTCCAAGAGGCTCAGGGGCTGAGTGAGGTAGCCTTGAGGGTCGTTGTCCAGCTTTATCATGCAGTGATCGACCCCCTCCGACAAAATTTTTCTCAGCAGGGTTCTTGTCTTTCCAATGCAGTCTGCCAGCCTGCTGCTTTCGTCAACAACCGCTTTAGTGGTGGCTGCAAAGAGTGGTAATAAAACTGATACCAGGAATGCAGTCAAGACATTTAGTGATGACTCTCAGAAAAAAAAAGCATGATTTTGTCCAGATAATAAGGATACACCTGAAGGCCCACTAACTAAACTAAAGTAACAGTGAGCCTTTTGGGCCATGTACCCTTCTGTTTGGGCAGACTAAAAGAGACGATTACCTTCTGTTAATCAAAGCTTTCCACTCTGCCCAAAAAAAGAAGCTATACATAATAAGACTATGCATTAAGTCAACTTCCAAGCTGGGTTCAACATCCTAGCTTTTTCCAAAGCAGGACAAAACAGGAAGCTACATTTATTTCTCAGACTATTTCCTGGTTTCTTTGCCCCTGCTACAAATGGAGAGAAGAGACTGTACGCACAGCTTGAAGCCTCGTTCACCTCTTGGCTCGCTGAGATGAAATAGAATAGCTCCACCACGAAATCAGTTTTATTGAAAGGAGGGCCCTATTTCATTAGGGAGCAAGTGCACTTGAAATAGTAAAACGAAGCATCGCACCTGAAACAGGGTAAATTTCACAAGTGTAGACACGCAGTAGCCTCAAGCAGCAAGTGCCGACGAATCGCAGCCTTTCTAAATCCAGAAGAGTGGCCGTGTACTGGAACCCCTTCAGTCCTCGAAGTTCTTCTACTCCTAAAACTAAGGTGGTCCAGCTCCAGTGAAGAATGCTCAGCAGCGACTCGAAGCACTCCTGCTCCAAGGCAATCATAAGAAAGCAAACAGGGCTCAACAAGGAATGTGCGTTCAGCCACTGCTCTCAGACTGGGTAGAAGAGACCCTGAGCGGGGATGTACAGTAACGTTCCAGGGAATCACATGGTTCTGCAGCAAAACCTTAAAAGGTGTTCACGCACAACTGCCATCCCTTTGCAATTCCTTTACCTTCTTTCCCCCTTCTCTCACTACAAACACCTGTTTAGGAGGGGAGGGTGGGACAGAAGAGCTGCACAATGCTTTGGAAATGCTAAAACGTGGCTCTCAGGAAGTCTCTTCCTTTTCTCCCTCTGAAAATATTTTTACTTTGGACTTCAGTAAAAACATAACAAATTCAAGAGTGCATTTAACCCGGCTATGAAGGAACAGTAGTGCTGATGGTACCTCCTCCTCCTCCTCCTCCTCCTCCAGACACAGAGATTTTCCTTGCTGAACTGCTAAAACTGTAGAAAATTAGACTGAGTGCAGAGTTTAGCTTTCCAGAACTTTAGCTCTCATTTCTTTAAAAAAATGGGCTTGCCTAATCCTGAGGGTTACAAGGCTACCCTTGAAAGAGGGAGAAATGCCCAGTTGTCTCAGAAGCTCACAGCAATGGAAGATGAGAAATAAGCAGTTGCTTTCTATTTTCATAATGGATCAATGCCACAGAACAATCTCACCGTAGAAACTGTGCCCTAAGCCAACCTCTAGAAAACTCCTGTCTTCTAGATATTATGAGTAAAGGCAAATGCAACATTAAGGATAACAAGCTCCATGTTCACCTACTCTGTTTCTTCAGCCACTGCAAGGATAAAATGCCATCTATATAAATAAGTTAACTTAAGAATGAATACACATTTCTGGTTTTAAAAAAGTCAAGTGTTCAATGTGCATATCTTGTTTTTTTTACTTTGTACAGTGGAAGATTTCAAATATGCAGTGAACTACTTTTTACCGGCCAACTTTTTAAATCTAATTAAAACACAGACAGACTTATACTCACCACGGAAACAGTTCTTGCAAATGATCGCTTTAAAATGTGCACTGGCTCACTGGTTTGCTGTTTGCCTTTAGATGCACTCCCATCACATGTTGGCAGCCTGGAAGGGAAGCAAAAGCAAGACATAACCTTTAGGTGTTGTGCAAGCAGGCTGGAGGGAAACAACCCTTGGGCTCCTTGCCGCTTCCTGCAGGATACTGTTTCTGCTCCAAGAGCTGCATTTATTGGAAGCACGAAGCACACAAGGATGCCTGGCCAGCTGTTCCTCCTCAGAAGTACCTCAAAAGTTGTAAGAGGAAAATATATCTGTTCAAAGAGCCCGATGGCCTTAAAAGGACAGGGAGAGGAGGAGGAGGAGGAGGAGGAGGAGGAGG